AGAGACATAGAGACAGAAAGCGAGAAATCACCCCCCAGGGGGGATGGTCACGCCGCAATCCCTTCTCCATTCTCCTCTTGGGATTTTGGGCACGCACGCACACGCGCCTGGCGTGAGTTTTAAGCCACCGGGTCCAGGATGCGAACCGCGGTCGACTACATGGGAGTCCAGCGACATAGCCATTACGCTAACTGCTGGTTCCCCATGGTATGCTTCTTAAAAGGACCATCTGTCAGAGTCAGCAGGTGGCATGGTGGTTAAAGCTGGTGGACTCCCACATGGTGGACCATGGGTTTAAGTCCTGGACCAGGCAGCTTGAAAATCACACTGTGTGTATGTCTGTGCATGCCCAAAAAATCCCAAGGGGAGAACAGAGAAGAAGGGATTGCGGCATGACCTCCCCGTCTCCCAGGGTGGTGGTGGTGGTGGTGGATTTCTCACTTTCCCTTTCCCTCTCTCCCTCTCTCTCTGTCTCCAGTGAGTGCATGTGCTCTATAGCAAAAAAACCTTTTTTTTTTTTTATAGAGATTTTTGCTATAGGGCGTGTGTGCTCGCTAGAGACAGAAACCATACGGCCAACTGTGGTTTGAGTCCTGGATCCGATGGCTTGAAACTCATGCTGTGTGTGCGTCCCCAAGATCCTGGGAGGAGAAAGGATTGTGGCATGGCCGACCCCCAGGAAGGTGATTTCTCACTTTGCCTCTCACTGTCTCTGTCTCTCTCTCCCTGGTAAGCACACACTCACCCTAAGGCAAAAAACTCTACCAAAAAAAAAAAAGAGAGAGAGAAGAAGAAGAAAATGGCCACTTGTGGCAGGTTATGTGAAACTAGAGTCAGATCACACTTCATCAGAGCTATAATTCACTTCCCAGCTGGGTGAACCTGGCCAAGTCATTTAACTTCTCTGAGTTGGTTTCTTCATATATAAAATGGGTGTAATTCTTCACAGTTCATGGGAGAAGCCAATGAGAGTCAACAAATGTAAGAACCTGCTGAGTATACCGCTCAGCACACAACAGCAGTCGTCACCGCTTTCATCACCACTAATACCAAGCAGGGACTCCAGACACTCTCCTCAACCCAGTCAGCTGGGTGCCTGGAATCAGTCACTATCAGGTCTGCTCTGTTTCCGGGCAGGTGTGACTCAGTCTTTGCTGCCAGAGGGTGCTCTGGCCACGAGCCCAGAGCCCTGGCTCAGCTCCCTGCTCTCCCAACATGCTACTGACCCATGTACCTGCATATTAAGGGCAGCAATGAGATGCAGGTTGTGCAGATGTCCCACCCTGGCCAAGGCTTTCTGGCTTCCCATCCAGGGCTAGGAGGTCTGGGAGCCAAGGATGACAGAACTCGGACAGCGTAAAATGACTTTCCAAACTGTAAAGCACTGAACAAATATTCTTTCTTTATTCCCCTCAATTGACAAAGGGCATGTGCGCTCACCAGAGAGAAAGGGGACAAAGCATCCCCAGTAGGGCATGGACATGCCATAATCCTTTCTCCGTCTCTCCCTCATGTCAGGATTTGGGGCTGCACGACATGTATGCACACTTACGTGGCACATTTTTCAAACACTGGGGCCAGGATTCAAACTGCTGTTGGCCATGTGGGATCTGACTCCCAGTACACAGTGCCTAGCCCGTGCACCACAGGGCACAGGGTCATCCCTAAACAAGTTTTTTTTTGTTGTTTTTTTAAGAGGTTTTTGTCGTAAAGCATGTGCACTCACCAGAGATAGAGAGAGAGATAGAGAGAGAGAGATAGAGGGAAAGTGAGAAATCACTTGGATGGCCACACCGCAATTCCTTCTCCTCTATTTTCCTCCTGGGATCTTAGGCACACGTGTACACATGCCTGGTGTGATTTTCAAGCCACCGTGTCTGCGACTTGAACCGTGGTTGGCCATATGCGAGTCCAGTGACACAACCACTACGCCATCTGTTGGGCCCAACAAGTATTCTTTAAAAAGCTTTGAACTATGTGTTGTGAACCCAGGATTCAAAGGGAATAGGCCACTTAATTAAAATTCCACCATCACCACCTAGCTGTCATTCACTGGGCAATGGAGTGGGCACTTCACACACACCATCCATCATCTTTGCCACGCCTCTGTACTAAAGACAGGAGACAGTCTTGGGGAGTTTAAGTGATGTGGTCCAGGCCACTCAGCAGGGGAGCAGCATGGATGCAAAACTTCAGAGGGCTGTTTCTTTCCACTAGTGCTGCCTTCTGGCTCAGCATCCCCTTGTCCGACTTCTCTAATCCTGGCTCTTTAGCAGGCTTAGCTGAGGGAAAAGAGGTTGCAGATTTCCTCATATGTGGGGGGAAACACCCACCCCTACAGGACATCCTCTGCAGTGATTCCAGGCAGGACTTGACTGCAGGGGCAGGAACCATCCCAGGCCAGGCTCTGCTTCTCAGAGAGGAGAGAGAAGAGGCTGGTGTTGAACATGGAAGCAGCCAGGAGGCAGGTGGCAGTGGGAGGAGAGATGGTGGGAATTATTACTATGATTCTGGAATGGACATCTGTTGTTTTTGCTCACCCAGCATCGATTCTGTCTTCTGCTAGCAGAAACGCTGGCTTTCCTTCAGAGAATCGCCTTCTCTCTGTCCCTTTCAATCCATGCAGACTGGGACCAATGACTGAGAGACTTGGACAACTGGAGCCACAGTGACGGGCTGGGGATGATGTAAATAAGCCCTGGGACTTTGGATGGAAGTACTGAGGGAAAAAGCTCTTTCCATGGGAGTTGCTAGGCTGTAAGGTAATAGCCTGGAACCACTGCCTCTGTGGCCCCACTCACGGGAGCCTAACCAAGGCAGAGGCCACCCTAGATGCCACGGACAGCCTCAATGCCACCATCACAGCACCCTCAGCGGTGATAGGAGAAAATGTGCTACTTGGATCTGCCAGCTACAAAACACTGTTGATCCCTTTTTGCCCTGGGCTAGTTTGCTTTTGAAACCAATTTTGACCCAAACCAATATTACCACTACTGAGTGCTTTTTATGGGCTGGCATGTGGTGGAGGACTCCACACAAAACATCCCATTTAACTTTCAAAGCAATGGGATAAAAGAAAGTCCAATGATTCTCTTTTACAAATGAGAAAATTAAGGGACAAAGAGAAAAAGGCCTAAGTGTAGTCACTGAGCCAGAGGGGGTAGGG